ATGCTTTTGTATCATTGAGCTATACAATTCAAAAGAAAAAAACAATATAATAGTCAAACTTTAACTGTTTATATCCTTTAAATGGTTACGTTTACAAAAAAATTGTAAGGGGCCTTTATGTAGAGCATTCGATACACAAAACCTATGAAACCAAATATTCTTTCAGGCAGTTAGAAGCGAGTTTTGAATTTTTCTATCTGATAATAAGGAAAAAATAGAAGACCTTAAAGCGGAGGACCTTACCGTTACAATTAAGAGCTCATACCTGTAGAGATTTTCGTAGACGTGCCTAAGAACCTATTTTTCAGAGTATCAAGCAAAAAAATAATCGTGTTTTTGACGCACCATAATGTAAATATATAATTAAGTAATATAGCAGCTACCGCTTAATAAAATATGAATGCAGAAAGCAAAAGGGCTACAGTCTCACAGACTTCACACACCAAATGCTCATTAAGTACCCAAACAATTTCATCTGAATTGTCACGCTTTTTGAGATGTAAGGTGTAAATTTCAGTAAGATACGCTGAAATTATAAAGATATTACACGCACAGTGCCAGCAAATACTGTGTATATCAATTTATTGAAGCATAGAGCAACAAGAAAAATTAAAAACATAATTAAAACAGTTTCAGCGCAGCATAAAATAATTAAAACAAAAAACACAAAAAAAGTATGTAATTAAAAAGTCACCAAAAGTAAATCATCGCAAGCGAATTATAAAGCACAAGACTCGCTTAATCTGTACCTCAACAAGCCACCAGACTGAGCGAGTCGCAAAGAATGACGCCAGCGGCAAGCAGGCCATAATCATGTTGCCAGTTCGCCGATGTTGCAACACTCATTACGACTAAGGCGCCAATACAATGATACAATGTTGGCTAATAACTATTAAAATATAATTTAAAAAAAGAAGAAAAAAAAAATATTAAGAAAAAGCTGCCAAAGCAAATACAAGTTATTTATTAGCTAAAAAATGGTGCTGAAAATAATCAACTGAGAGTAGAGTACTCGCATATGTATGTGGCTATATGTTTTCGCCGCAACACTTCGCGCCGGTATAATGACGATACAGTTGGACGTTTTGAATTTTTTAAAAGTTAGCATGATCATCACTTGATTGCTGTTCAATAAGAAATCTCGAAGAACCTGTTAAGGAGCACACCCAGTGTAACAGCATAAAAGAGGCAATTTTGAGATCAAAACACTACTAGGTCATTATATGGGGACCTATTTGATAGTGTTGGGATAATTTGTCTCCGAGTAATCGCTCAAGCAAATTTCAAAACTGCTGTTTCGAGAAAAACGCGTTTAAAGCTAAACTGATAGGGCTGATTGAACTGAGTGGCTACATTTTAGCAGTCTGTAACTCAAAAACTCTTTGAGGTATCGATATAAAATTTTAGTACGTTATTTTCAAAGATTATACCTTCCTCTCCTACCTCGATATATGAAATTTTTGCTTTCAATTTTATTAGGTGCGCCCTTAGTATTATATATCCCATATACAATAATTATATAACCCATGAGTCGAACTTTGCATCCAATTGAGGTGGCTCTTCAAGATATTTTAAGAAAGTGCTTGGTTTTAAAAGAGTTTATCTCAATACCCAGAAAATTCTTCACGAGAAATCCACTAATATTATGGCAACAGAGTTATTTTATATTGATTTATTATGTTTATTTAAGTATATATAATTATATATAAAATTTGTATTAATCTAATATCTATTCTAATCTAATAATTTATATATGTATAAATTTTTTAAATTTCATTTTTACGATCTATTATTAAAAATTTTATTTAATCAATTAAGCATGTATCCATACTAACTCAGCTAGAATACAATCATTAATCATCAGCGAAGATTCATCATACACTCTTACTATACCGCTACTCATTTGATTACAATTGAATAGAAAATAACACACTGTATGCTCGGCGCATGCGCAACGGCATTACGTGATATGTGCGCTTCGTTAGAGTTGTCCGAGTGACTGGAGTCACTTACCGAGGCCACTAAACAGCGCAACGCGACTGTGCTGCAATAAACTGGGCAACAACAAACCAAAAGCTACAAAAGCAAAAGCAACTTTTTTAATGCAGCCAGCAAGAGCATAATATTGCTCGCGCTGTTGTTGTTGTTATTATTATTATTGCTATTGCTGCAACTGTTTGGGTTTTTTAAGCGAACGGCAAGCATTTAAAAATTTCGATTTCAGTCAACGTGCGAACGCGAAACAAAAGTGTTGTAAGTGCCGAGGTGTGTTGATCGAACAAATGTGTGTACAAAAATCTAATTTGTTGTTGCTTAAATAAAAAACTAAAATAAAGTGAGTGAGTGGAAGCAAGTGCAAAGAGCAAACGTTTTAAAAGCGCGGAAATTGTTAATAATTTTTTATAAAAAATATTTTTAAAATAAAAAACTATTTTTTTTAATAAAAATTTATATTTTTTTATTTAAACATTTTTTTTTTATATTTAAACCTTTTTTTGTGGAAGTTGCGTATACGCCGAGCTGTGCTTGTGCACGGCTTGATAAAAGTGATGTGCTAATTAATTAAATAAACAAAAATAGTTTATAAGAAACTAGTGTATGCTAAAGAAAACAATTTTATTATGGAATGACACACATAGCGGTACATGTACACTTTCGTTGTACTTTCGTTTTTTCGATTTATTGTGCGATTTTTACGCCGCGTTTGGCCACCATACCATTTACTCGATTGGGCAGTCGATGTTATTTGCGTGTGTTATTGTTTTTGTTCTGCAAAGCCATCGGAATTTTAATGTACATGTGCGTATACAAATCGCTTTTTTTCAGCAATTGTAAAGTTACACTATAAAGGCGCAAATAAAGCTTTAAAACTAAAAAAGAGAGAGCGAAAGAGAGAGTTAGTGCCTGCAATGAAATGAGTGTGGTGGGAGTAGCGCCAAATAAATGAGTGAAATTTAACAAAAATGTGCTAAATATGCGAAATAAATTTAAATTGACGAGAGATTGTTCAATAAAAAGACATTAAATTAAACTTTAAAAAATATTTAAAACAATTTTAAAGTGCATTAAAAAGCAGAAAAACTATTTTCGCATTGCTTTTAAATCAAACGTGTAGATTTATTATAAATATTACAAAATATTACACAAACATGTTAACAAATCATCTTAAAATAACATCAAAATTGTTGCAAAAAAAAGTAATAAATAAATAAATAAAAGAAACATTTTTACAACTCACACTTAACAATAAAAATCGTTGAAGAAAAGTGAGAGTGTTTGCCGAATGTGTTGTAGTCAGTTGCCTTGAGCTGCTTCGGCTTTTGTTTGCATTTATCATTCACAGAAGCGACAAACTCAGCGTGTGTGCATTTTTACGCATTTATGTAGATACATATGTATTGTACATACATACATATGATGATACTTGATGAGTAAACAGACTCTTGGCTTTGGTAAAAATGAAATCGATCGCCTCAAATTAAATATAAAATAAAATATTTAATAATTAATTTTATAAATTAGTTTTCGATTATATACAATTTTAATAAATAACATTTAAATATAAAATAAAATATTAGTTTTAAATAAAATTAAATTTAAAAAAATTATTAATAAAAAAATAATTAAAAAAACTAAAATTTAAAAATGAAAACGAAAAACAAGTTCTTTTATAATAAAAATAAGCATGATAAAAACTAAATTAAACACAATACATTTCTATACTAAAATAGTAACAAAAAAATTAAAAAATAATAAAAAATTAAAAATAAACTTTAAAAACTAACCAAACTAAAACTAATAATTAAATCGAAAAACGGTTATAAAAACTAAAAATTAGGCAATTAAAACATACACAAAATAATTGAAACGAAAAACAGTTACAACAAAGATAAAAAAAAATTGTTAACAAAAATATATGTAATTAAAAAAAATATAAAAAAATGTCCAAAAGTGATACAATTAAAAAAAAAATAATTAAAAGGATTAAAAATTTAAAATATACAATTATAACGAAAAACAGTTATAAAAAATAAAATTAAATAATTTAAAAAACAACGATTCAAATAATAAGTTATAAAAAAATAGAGTTTAAAACAATTTTATAATAAAAAAATTATAAAAAAGAAAAAAGTTAAATCAAAAATATTTCTAAAAGAGATAAAATAAAATAAAAATAATAATAATTTAAAAACTAGAAATTGAAACGAAAAACCGTTAAAAATGAAAAAATATGAATAAAAAAACCATGTCGTAATAAGATAAAACGAAAAAAAATTAAAATAAACTAAATAAGAAAAACATATTTATTAAATACAGAGAATTGTATCAAAAAATAGATTTAAAAAAATTATAAAAAATAAAATATAACTTAAAAATGACAAAGTGAAAACAGAAGTACTAAAAATTAAACAAAAATAAAAATAGAGTAATGTATAAAAAATGGAGTTTAAAAAAATTATAAAAAATAAATCATAAGGACACTTTGAAAACTAAAATAAAGTAAAAATGCAATAATAGAAAAAAATAGCGCTAAACAGAAATTTTAAAGTCCAACTTCCTACCAATCCTTAATCAGAGATACTTTAAAATCAAAGATACATATTCACAATTTACACCACACTTTAGGTTGTGAAAATGCCACATGAACTAGTTTTACTGCATCTTTCTGATTATATATAGTTGAGTAATGTTGATATTATGGTGCTTTGCGCGCTCCTTCTGTACCAACTGAGTCATACACACGATCTGTGCTGGTTTGATAATATCCAAAAGTCTATTTCTTGCTTCGGTGACTTTTTTGTTTCTATAATTTTTTATTTTTTATTTTCTTTAATCCGCTAAGCCTAACCTACTCCCAACTCATGTCTCTCGCACGGAACCACTGGATTAAGTATTACTTCAAGGGAGCGAAATTTTGTTCAAAATGGAATTTATATTTAACATAAATATTTTCATACTAAACTTTGTTTTCATAAATTCTAAATTATTTTCAAACTTCAAAGCAATCAAAATTTGTTACAAAACGTCTTGATCTCAGTTTTGGAAAAAAAATAAAGAAATTTCTCAAAAAAATTGGATTGAGATTTTTTTTAACTATAAGCTTTACTAATTGATTGCTAATTCTCTATAGCACTAGGTGTTAAAGAAAAAGCAAAAAGAATTGGAATTCAAAATAAGCTGTTGTTAGTGATGAAAATAAGTCAAATACTTGGTAGTCATTTATAGTTCTCACAAAACGGGGCCCTTTCTTTTAAAACTTTTCTCTAGACCGAGTCTCAAGTGCGCGAAGAACTGAGAAAGGAAGAAAATATTATAAACTCACTAAAATACGAGTAAGAACGCCATACGACCAAGTCTTCTAAATAATTATATTACATGTTCTCCATCACCAATACTCACTTAATCACTAATCTAGTGTTGTTCAAGAATGTTAGCGACAAAATTGCGCCACCCGACCAACGATGACATCATATATCATAGAATAAGAAGAAAGAACGTGAAAAAGCTGTCAAGTTTCAAAAATTAAATTGTAAACAAAAGCATAAATAGTTTTGAAAACTCGTGAAATACATCAAATTTTTTAGTTGATAAACAAGAAGTTCCACACGTTTCAAGTTGGAAAATGTGACGTAAAAGCAATAATGCTGCTACATTTTTGAAAGCAGAAATCAAAAAAAAAAATAATAATAACGGTAAAAACTTTATGTAATCTCTAGTTCTTTTTTTTTGATTTCAGTGCTTTTAGTTATTCTAGTTTTTCGGTAATAAGTATAATATGTGGTAGCGGTGATCACTAAATTTCTAAAGAGTAGATAAAATGCAATGTTCCCGCACTAATAATATGAAAGACAGTACAAAAGTTTATTAATGTAAATAATAAATATAAAATAAGCAGCTCGGTATCGACGGACAAAAACTCACACATAAATAATTAACAAGTTATATGTATTAAAGTGAAAAGTGTAAACGTGAAGTAACAGTATTTATACAAAATAAAATTTAAACATTTAACAGTATAAAAAAGTTTTTAAAATATGCATATGCGAAACCAAAGACACCTTCGTTTTCAACGTCACAGCCGTTAAACCGCACTTGCAACACGAACTGCACACATTTGTTACAGCGGCAAATGATAACTGCACAGTGAACGGATATGTTTTTACTGCAATTTAATTGCATTAATTAAAAATATTTATTTTAAAGTCCACCACTTTTTTTGTTGCAGTCAGCCGCAAAGCAAAGAAAAAACCGCAAAACCGCACTTGCAGCTTGCAACATTATACATTGCTTGCTTGTTGAATGCTGCAAGTGGACCGCCACATAGTGAAAAAGTGCCAACACCGACGACAGCAACAACAACGCTGAAAATTGCCATAAATGCCGCTGCAGTTAACAACCAACACAGAAATTCGACCCGCAGACCCAGATGAATGCCCCACTGAAAATGTTGTTGCACGCCCCAGGCATCACAATTTCGGCTGCTTTTAGTATATGGCTGATGTGCTGTTGTTGTAAGTATAGCAAGTATTGCAACATGCAATTTAGCAAACATATTTGTTTTTTTATAAATATATATATGTGTGTGTGTGTATTAGTGGTTTAAATGCCTGGTTAACATACTCTCACAAACACACACCGCTGCTCATGCCTTCCTGCTCTCTCTATCCTCATAAAAGCATTCTCATGTTCAAAAGCTGCTCTTCCTTCCAACGCTAGCTTGTTGTTGTAAATTAACAAAATTTGTTTTTAATGCCTCTCACTATGTAAATACTCGCTGTAGTTCATTATTGAGCAAATAGAAAACCGGTTTTCTACCTATTGCGTTTGCGCTGCTGTCTTTTTTTCCGCTTCGGACTTGTTGTTAGTCTTCTGCGATTTACATTTTTTTTAATGTTTTTTATGACTCTTAGACTTTTGGCCGTTCAAAGTGCTGTGTCGTCATTGTGTCAAGGTCGTTTAGTTTGGTTTATTATTTTAGCTTGCTTTTTACTATTTGGTGCTACTTATCTACAAACTGAACTTAACTGAACGGCTCTAATGCTCTTTGTCTGCGGTGGCGCCGCATGAGCAGTTAAGCGCTAATTCCTTACGCTTGAGTTTATTAGCATAATTGAATTGTGGACGCCTATATTTCGTTTGCGAAGTCAATAAACTCAGCATCTTCGATGATCTTCGATGAGCTTCGTAAATACCTTTACTTTTTGTGCTTTGTTTTCAGCTTTGTTTTTAGCTTTGTTGCTTTGTTTGTATAAAACTTCAGAGGTTTTTTTTTTTTGAATTGGGTAAACTCTATAGAGATTTAGTTATGCTTTCGGATATACCAAAAACTTTTTGGCTATATATCTAGGTATGTATGTATATAGCAAATATATTTATACAAGTATAGATGATTGCTGTAGAATTTTTATGATATATCAAGAACTGCTTCAGTTTATTTTTGTTCTAGGAGAGCACTACAATATATGTATCTATGTAGTTTTACGAAATAAATTTAAATAATTGTCTTCTGTTTATTTCTCTTGCAGCCGTTTGTGATCAAGAATTAGGTCAGTTTGAGACTTAAGCTTAGGTTTTGTTGCTGGTTCGTGATGGTAATATAATATAACATCTGAAACAACATATTCATATTTTTCCTGCAGAAAATTACTGAAGGCGAAAAACCTTTATATATCGCTGAAACAAGTTTCGTTATCAGATAATTCCCCGGGTTAAATAAATAACTGAGAACAATGTGGTTTCAATTATAGCCGCACAAAAACGTGGCAGTCTAAAAGCAAATGCTGAAATGATGCCAACTTACGCTTTTTCAACAACTCCGTTAATGGGTAGCAAATGGTTAACAATCAGTTAGAGCGCTTATATCTATTATAGCAAAAGAGCGGCCTATACCACTTATTTTTACGAGAACCAGCTGTCGAAGATTGGTTCACAAGAGCAAAAAAGAACTTTTAATCATCAGTTCGTGATTTTTTATTGTTTTATTCTATTATAAGACTTCTTTTAAAGGTCAATAACTTTACAATATCCAATCATTTGATCGTACAAAAAGTGTGATATTTTTGTGCTTTTAAAAAGACTTCAAAGTTCTGTTGTTGTTGTCTAAGATTATGACAAATTGACTAATCTCTCCACTATCGTGTAGAATTTTAGCTTTATTTATTGTATTTTATATATCATAACTGGGAAGAGAACCCATATTTGTATGTATATATGTGGCTCATGAAAATATCAAGTTCTGTTGCAAAACATTGCATTGGTAAGATATCCACCTAACCGTATTCAGTTAAAAAGAGCTAATATAGTAATCTACAAATACTATTGAACCCTGAATTTTTATTTTTGATCTTTTTATCTTAAACAACCACATTTTAAGGTCATGTCAATACCAGCCTTGTTTCGCTAACAATCGATGACAAGATAACACTTTGCTACTTCCCACTTAACTTGCATGATTTCAATACGACATAATGTATTTTTTTAGTAAATTTTAAAAATAAAAAGTTAAATGTGTCTTACGAGCACTCGCTACATAGGGAAATGCAAATTTGAGACAACTGTCAATGGCTTATCGTACGAAAAGTAATTCCAACAAAATTTCGGCAACCAAAAGGCAGGTAGGTCAACAGCAAACGATTCAAGGCAAATTACGAATAACACACACTCACAAGAAAAAAATAACTAATAGACGCTTGAAAAAGTAAAACAACTGAAAGACAAATAAAATTCGGTTAAATACAATGAAAACAAGGCGCGCATGCGCATTAGTGCACCACCTGTGGTTATGTGCTTAGATTTGGTTTTGAATTCATGAACGCTGCCTGCGTCAAAAACCAAACCCAGTTTTATGTGTACGACTGCATTACATAACTTTTTCGTAGTACGACAACATTTTGACTGTTTTTATGCTTGAAGCTGTGTGTGCGGCGTAGCTGAGGAATTACAAAAATTTCAGTGGAATGTTGGTGTGGCCATCAGCGGCATATTTGTAGCTTTTTTGTTATTTTTGGCTGTCACAATGCATATTTAAGACTCACTTAATGAATCAAAAAGGGATTTACTCAATAATGTTTGCATGACTATTTCAAATGATGAAGTGAAAAGTGCTTAGAAAAATATATTAAGGCAATTAATAGTCGAGTTCCTAGCTTTTTTAAATGTTAAGCTTTTTAAAACTGTTTTAAGCTTTGAAGCGCTTTTTTCAAATCTTTCAGTTTAGCGGTGTTTAATGTAAAGTTTCTTCCAAGACTGAATATTTAAACATAGCCCTTACTTAAATATAGATTTGCTCTGTTCTAACCCAAAGCCGAACGCATTTTCTTTAGACTCGCTGCTCTCCGTGCTTTTATTGCAATTGTCGTCGACCAACCCATACATTAGTGACCAGGTTATAGATATCATACCTACATTCACGTATACATAATATATACATACTGACATTCCTATCTTATAAGTATATTAATCTCGAATCCATTACAGTACCAAACGCCGAGCCACTCGTAGTGCCACAGGAGTTACCCTCCATACTATCACTGATCTACTCTAATATTCCACCCATTAAAAAAGGTACGCAATCATTGAATATTTTTATAACTTAATACACCTTAAACTACCCCACTAATGCCATTTACTTGCGCTTAGGTACCGATTCCCGACTCGGCTTCGGTTTTCGTCTCGGCAATCATGCTGACTTCCAAGTTCTACTCGAGCTGGGACCACAGAAGAACACACGTCCAATTGGCGAAGATGCCGACTCGGAAAACTCGTTCAATAAGCGACAAGTGAGCAAGGCGCAACGCGCTCATCTGCTGCGCAAACAAGCGCAGGAAGTGTACCGACAGCTCGCGACCAGCACGACAACAGAACGCGCAGCCAATAGTTGGCTAGAGAGTTGGTCGAATGCCATGAATACAAATCACAATGTTGACGGTGTGACGGTGACCAGTGCCGGCATAGCAGCGAACAAAAAGAAATCTGCGCCGAAACTCGCACAAAGCACGGGGAAGAAACAGCAGCAGCTGGAGAATTTCACGCCACCGGCGGCCAACACAGCGGAGCAGTCAATGATGCAACTGCAAATGCTCTACCGCATGGCCACCGCCAGCAGCACAACAACAACATCACCAATAGATATACAGCCAAGTACCGAGTTGCCAGTTATGGTTGTAACGCCGGAGCCACAGTTACAGCGATTACGTCCGACTTTTGTACCGTACAAAGGTGGTTCTTTGAACTTAGGCGGACCAGTGGGACTCACACCACGCCCACTTGAGGAATTGGCACTGCAGACAATCGCAGAGCAACCGATTGAGCGCAAATCGAAAAGTGAAATAACCAAGGAGTTGATGGATGTGAGCCTTGAGCAGGGCCAGTAGCGTGTCAGCTATTCGAAATGCAGTAAAACTTTTGTAAATAATCTTTATGTAAAAAAAATCGATTGTATATAAAAAAATTTAATTTAGAAAGATAAAGAAAAGTAATATTTTGGAAAAAACTACGAAAAATAATTTTTCATTGTTGTTTGTGTTTCTCAGCAGCAGTCTTTTGTCTATTGGGTTGTTTCGAAACATCAAGGAGCATTCGATTATATAATATTATATTTCGATTTAGGCTTGGCAACACAAAAAATACTTCTTTTTTCCTATCACCCCTTAAACCGTCTTATCAAAGAATGTTAATAAACGAAAAAATTACTTACCACACCCTATAGATCAACTATCGGTTAACTCAAATATCAGCGCTACCTGAAATTTCTCTGAGTTTCTATGAGTTTCTTCAGACCAAATTGACAAAACTACCTAAAACTTTTGCGTATGTGTGATTACATGTTCCTTTTTAACGTATGTGTTAGTTTCCCTGCTAATTCTTTCAATATATTTGCTTTACGCTGATCGTGACTTGCTGGGCATGCATAACAATTTGAACCATTCCATAAATTATTTTCATTGAGCACTAGACCACCCTGTGCTGGATAAATAAAATGAACACAGCTAGCTTAGACAACAACCTGATGGTTTACAGTATTGCCAGCACACGCGCTAACAGGAATCAATTTGAACAATTTTTGACTTTTTGTTTTGACACGGCATTCGTGGCTGATTGGAAAAGAAGTTGACCGCCGTTTGGCAATGCGCCGCTTCTCGTCGTTCGCTTTCGTGCAGTAAATTTTTAACCGTCGTTTCGAATGGATGTGAAGTAGTGCGTGCGTGTCTTGTGTTCGTGAATTGGTATTCTAGCAATATTTCAACATTGCACCTCAACCACCTGCACAAGTTCAGAACAAATACAAAGAAAGTGTAAAATGTGACATAAAAGTGCAAAAGTAAATTGCAAAAAGCATGAAATTAGTGATAAAAATTGAATTTGAAAAAAGTGCAAGACGGTGAAAGAATTTTCAGTGCTACGCTGCTGCTGCAAAAATAAGTTGCAAAGAAAAAGGGTAGAAAAGCAGCAGCAAAAGCAATTCGCAGTGATAGCGGCAGAACACAAGCAAAAGCAGCGGCCAAAACGTGCGCAGCAAACGGGAAAAACGAGGCAAAAAGGAAGGTGTATTTTGTGCGCCCTGTACGTGTGTGTATGTCTGTGCAGTGTTTGTGTAAAAGAATGTAAAACGTTTACAACGACGAAACGACGCACAAAGTGTAAACGTGGAAAAAAGTGTTTGCGAAGCGCGTACATTGGGAATGTGTGAAACTGAAGCTGCGCTGTCGTGCTGACTGCCAACGTTGTAGGTAGCAGCGCTGTCGCTGCTTTAAATAGACGACTGTGCTTTCTGTGTTTTTTGCAAACAATGTCTAGCGGTGCTGCGCTGCGGTCGCAAAAGCTAATTTGAAGCGTTGTGTTGGAAAAAATCTGTTTTAACGCAAAAAATAAAAGAATGGTCTACCATATTTGTTGCACATTTTTTGCTTGGAAAATATTAGCTGATGACAAAGAAATATTTTGCAGTCAGTAAGAATATAACGTGTTGAGAAATAGCAAATGCTGCACCAAATTTTTTGCAAAACCAAGCAGACACAAAGAAATGTTGGTTTAAAAATGATTAAAAGCAAAATACACGCACGCATATAAAATAAAAAAAAAAATAAAAATAAAAATGAATGCAGTAGTGTAAATAAAGCGCTTATCTGCTTAACATATGTATATAGAAAAATAAATACAAGAACGCTTTAGATAAGATAGCTAGTTAATATAAAAATAGGAAAAAAATGTGTAAAAAAAAAGTTCGCTAAAGCAGAGCAAATTTTAAAGAAAGAATATATAAAATAAGTTGTCAGAGAAGCGCTATAGCTAAATCTTTGTTAGAGTAAAACATAAAGTGTATAAAAAGTGTGTGTTTTTACATTTTGAATCCGACGATTTATTTAAAGAAGGGACAACGAAACGTCCAGAGCAAATACAAGCAAAAATCTGAAACTAAGCAGAGCAGTCCAAAGCGAGTGAAACAAAAACGTATCGTCGTAACTAAAAGGTAAGTGAAATGTAAAGCCTGCAGGAAAAAATAATTAAAATCTAAAGCAAAGCCTTTTATGTGCCGGTAGTGTTTACTTAAAAAATGTCATTGCCGCAGGCAGCTATTACATACATACATAGCTACCTTGTAATTAAACCTTTGTTTTCTACAATGCCAAAGCACGCAAGGCTACCACGCATTGCGTTGCCAGCGCCACCTTTTAGACATATTTACATATATGCGCTACAATAATATAAGCAAGCAAAAGCAGCCTGTCTGCATCGGAATGCATTTGCTCCATTTAAAGCAAAATTCCTAGGCACTAAAATTAAATGCATAAATATTCACTGGTTGCATATGCAACCGCACAGTCATAGATACTTACCCCCAAAACAGGTGCTGCGCATCCTATCCCCCCTCCATAGCTGCGCTGCGCAGCGCACAATTTATCAATGAAGTGCACAAAGTATACAGAAAACCAACAAGCTTGGTAGCCAGCAGCCTGTCTGCAGCCGTTGCCATGACAACAGTGCGTCAACGGCAGCTGCTGCCTCAGCGAAATGCCGCAGTCGCCGGGATACGCAACTGTCATTTTTGAATTTGAATTCCTTTGCTTTAAGCGAATTATGTTTATGCATATATATATATGTATTCTTCATATGTATATATGTATACATGTATGTATGTGCATGGTTTCATTTTCATCCGCGCTTTTGGAGTGGCTTGTGGTTGATTGGCGTCGCTGTTCTAATTTTGTTTTGCTTATGGCTTTCCTTCCGCTATTCCTGCTGTCACTAGGCTTGTATATACACACTGCTTGTTAGCTTGGCAGTATCAGCATCTCACAAGCAACAAAATTTTATGTGTGTATGTGTGTATTTTTTCTCACTTTTGAGGGTTGTCAAACACAAGCTTCCATTTTTTCATACGCACACACATACATATGTACGTATAGGCACCCCCGCTGCTGCGAACACGCTTTGAAGGACGAAAGCCCCATTAATGCTGCGCCATGGACGACCCACTGCGTTGTCGGAGTCGTGCTTTCAGATTTATGTATTTTAAGTGTTGATTTTTATGGCTCTCTCTCTGCTAAGTAATCGATGACGGTAGGAAGGGCGAGCATTTTTATGACATTATCGCTTAAATATTATGTGTCAAATGCAAAGTCATTTGATGCTGTCGAAATCGAGATTTTTTCTTATAAGTATACTATGCATACATACATATGTGCTCGTATTTATGTATATGTAAGAGTTATGTACACGTCGTACATGTTTTTACCTATTCAGCCAAGTTGAAGAGTTATTCAATGGTTCTTCAGAAGCATAAAATAATCATTTTGTAACTCATATCTTTTATAGTTTAGAGTATTTAAGTTCTTTAAGAAAAATTTTTAAGTACAAATTTTGTATCCTTAAACTATTTTTTACTGTTTTCCATAGAGTCTTTGTACAGAAAATTTTGTTATTTAACGAGATATCTTCTCGAAATTTGGCAAAGACTATTGTCCATTGACACTGCTAAAATCTTCAAACATATCATTCAAATCGTACAACCATAAAATATATGGTAGCTGCCATACAAAGTGAACGATCATCGAATCAAACCCTTGTAAGCAAACCTTTTTTATTTGACAAGTGATCTTCACGAAAGTCGGCATGGATTATTATTCAAGACAATGCTAAAATCTCCGAAAAAAATTTTTAGATCGGACCAGTATATAATATAGCTGTCATACAAGCTGACCGTACAACATCAAGTCCTTGTATAGTAAATTTTTTAATTTGGTGAGATATATTCACGAAATTTGGCAAATATTTTTGTCAAAGACAACACTACAATCTCCGGAAAATTCGTTCAGATCGAACGATTATTCAATATAGCTGTCATACAAACCGATCGATTAAAATCAAATTCTTATATGGAAAATTTTTTTATTTAACAATTTATCTTCACGAAATTTGGCATAGTTTATTGTGCACTACAAATTTCTAAAGAAATTGTTCAAATCGGACCACTATAGCATATTAGTGCCATACAAATTGAACGGTAAAAATCAAAATACATAGATTTTTATGCGCTTTTGTGCTATAAGAAATGCAGCTGTGAAGGGAATTTTAGCTTCGATGCAACCGAAGTTAACGTTTTTCTTGTTTATATATAAATATTTTTTTTCAATATTTTTTATTATGTTTCAATATTTTTTATCTCTTTTCAAAATTTTTGTTTTCGTTTTTCAATAATTTAAAAATTTTTGTTTTTCAATATTTTTTTTTTTTTCAATATATTTTATTTTATTCATTATTTTTTAGGTTTTTTTTTCAATTTTTTTTTTTATAATTTTGTAGGTGATTTTTTCAAAATTTTTATATTTTTTTTCAATATTTAAATTTTTTTCAATATTTAATTTTTTTTTCAATATTTTTAATTGTTTCATTATTATTAATTTTGTTTTTTCAATATTTCTATTATTATATTCAATATATATTTTTTTTTCAATATATTTTATTTTACGAATTGTCTATGCTAAATGCATATATTTCACAATATAGCTTTGTAATTATTCCATTATTACTTTGAGTGCTAATTTTTATAGTCATACAACTACGGCACCACTCCTTCCGCTTACTGCTTACAAAAAGAAATAATTTTTTTTTGTTTTTCTTACTCGAGAACTTCAGCAATAAAAAAGATGATTCAGTGATCTTTAAATTAATTTTACTTCATTGTCTGTCTTTGCGTTATTTTCCGACGTCATCATTCGCATACACTTATATATACTATGTATGTACATATGTATGTATTAGTTCGTTATTATTGCTCACGAGTAAAACAGAAAAATAAATAAAAAATTTTAAAGCAGAAATCAAGCACAAATTTAGGACAGGTAAACAGCAGAATCGCGTGATATACATATGTAGTCAGTGCTGTATGTAGCTTTGTGTACACAGAACTTATACATGCATATATTTGTACCTACATACATATGTTTGTTTGTTTGTAGTTCTCATCTTACTTTCTTCCATCTCGGCTACGCTTCAG